TTTATTAATATCAATTAAATGAATTTTACTTGATTTCAATAAAATATTTATTTTGAACAAATAAATAATTTGCTAATTTTCATTAATTTTGCTCTTGAAGTAATGCTGTTTATGATAAAAAAATCAACGCTTTCTCTCTCCCCTTTCATCAGCGTCGCGATTAAAATCATTTTAATTCTATAAGTATACATTTTTAATAGAAAATACTTGGCGTAAACTCGTAAATATTCGTATTCCCTTACTCACGAGTTTTCAATCGGCAATATTTTTCGGTAAATCAGAGTGATTACTTCTGAATATGAATCACTAGAGCTTTTTTCGTAATCATAAAGTTTTGCATTCGAATTGCATCCATCGACGCGCGAGCGAATCGTTTATCACGCGCGAAAAAATCCAGATACATGCGAGTAAGTGCGATTGACGTACTTGTTGCGCTTTGATTTTTTTTTTTTTTTAATCAGTAGAAAGTCACGAAGTCGGAAAACGACGCTTTCCTCGGCACTACTCGCATCACTGATCCAGAATAACAATCATTAAAATTAAACGTTTTTATATATTATTCTTGCTAGGTGTATGAAAGAACAAGGAAGCACACAACTTCTTTAAGCATACACACACATAGAGACTTGTATTATTTCTGAGCGGTTTCCCGTGCGCAGCAGCACACGTCGCTCTACTTTTTCTTATCTTTTAACAAGTTCATATATAAAAGCCTCCGCACAAGTAAGGCAGGCGCGCTGCGAAGTCGTGCGTCGTCTTCCTTCTTCTCATCCACTCTTATTTTAACTTTGAATCTTTTTATCCTTTAAAAAGTCTCAAGCAGTTTCCCAGATGCTTTTTCCTCTCTCCGTATCTGTGGGTGTGGGTGTATTTGTGTATATATACGTATGCGTTCGCATCGACTGTGTGCAGTTTATATTTTTTTTCTGCCTTCAACCCCGCACCGTTGTGAACATGGCGAAGAAATTCGCCTTTAAACGTTTGATACATTATATCGCGCGCGCATACGATGTTTTTGAAAACGATAGACCCTCTACTTTTACCGAAGGCTTACAACGTCGAGTTTTTTTTCTCGCACGCAATTCTAGGGCGAATTCCATACGTAAACTCTTAGACTCGGCGCTCGCCCGCTGATTTCATTCGTTTCAACTGCGCCGCTGCTAGAATGCGAAAATAAAAACTCGCTAGCACTGCACGACCTCTCGACGCTCGAGGAGAGCGGAGAGTATGTGGAATTCCTCTCTTACTTTTACACCACCCTCGACTATTACGATTGAAATAACAGTGTGATTAAAATTATATACTTTTCAAAAGTGGTTTTTTAGAATTAAAAATGTAATATTATTTTTTTTTGCTCGCGTAATTGTGTATTGGATTAACGTGACCTTCTTTTCTGTTTCTAAGGGTTTGCGATACCGAAGTTGTATGGATGTACTAATACTTTGAGACGCTTTGCTTTTTCTCTCTCTCTCTCTCTCTCTCTCTCTCTCTCTCTCTCTCGGTCTCCATATACTTTTTTAAAAAGTTCAGCCTTTTGAATTCGAGTATGAATTAAAGCTCCAGGCAAGGCGATCGAGAGATTATACGCCGTACATAGTATTTTAGAGTCTCGTTCACGTGTGAAAAAAGTTATTAAAAAAAAAAAAAAAAATTGAAGGGAAAACGAAGGTCTGAAAAAAAATCCACTCTAGCTGGAAAGTAGGTTGGATGTCAAAATACGAATAGGGTATAATATTCAAATGTTTTATGACATTGCAGTTTCCAAACATTAGTTTTCTTGAACTTTTCGAGGTACTCCCCGGTGCCTCGTATTCTTCTTTCGATCATTTTAAGTAGAAATTAATGTCCAACGACAGCTCCGCACTAGAAATTACATTACGTGCCGGTTTTTCGTTGTAAAGTTTGTAATACGAATCCCACGCGCGCGCGAGCTTAATGAAAATTTTTGGGCAGCTCGCTGGAAAACTAATCGCTAACGAACACGCGGAGCTGCTGCTCTGGTTGCCGAAGCAACCAATTAATTTGGTCCTGCGCACGGAGACCGTGTCATCTAAATTGATTTACCTATATTTGTTTCGCCAGTCAAAGTAATAGAATCCGAGGTATATTGAGTCGTTGTTTGGAAATCGATTGGAAGTGCATTACTAATTTCCGGCCCGCCCCATTCTGTTAATGTAGTCGAGGGTTTGTTGATGTAACTCAAGCCTGCGGGTTGATAATGATAATAACGACGACGATAATGATGATGATAACATTATAATGCTTCTGCTGGAAATAATTGTGATTACATTTCGGACGGTGTTTTTTTGGTGTCTGAGAAAAATTACATTTCCATCGTAGCGCGCGCGCACGGGAGCACGAAAAGTCCGTGTCAGTGTCGAGTAAGACTTTTCTTCTCTCTTTCTTCGCAATTGCCGAAATCGGTCTTCGCCCAGAAAACAGCTGAAGTGAGAAAAATTGCGCCATACGTTGCGCGAGTAACTAGATGGTGCATACACCCACACACCCACACAAGCCGCGTTTTTCCATCCTCGCTTTGTTCTACTTTCCCGCTGCAAGTTTTCTCTCTTCTCTCATCCTTTCTCTCTCTCTCTCTCTTTTTTTGTTGCCCCCGCGCTCATCCGCGTCCATCCTTCCGCGCTTCTATATACTGTAGCTCTGGCTGCGGCGCGTTCGAATTAGCTTTTCTCTGCTCCTCGCGCGTCCCGCGCACCTCATTTTCCTGGACAATTAATTTTTCTCCGACGCCCGAGCTCGGGATCACGAGCTGCTTCTTCATCTCGACGAAATATTCCGTCATTAAATTTTTCCGCTTATCATGGCTTCTTATTGCTGCTGGATGTGCCGACTGTCACGCTCACCTGATCATTTTCATATAAAGCCGGGGCCGGGTCACGTGCGGCGCGCCGTATACTATAAGCCTCTCGGCGTAAAAAATTTAATCCTTCTCTCTCTCTCTCTCTTCGCTCGCTTCGCTCTGCTCTGCTCTGCTCTCTCGCGTTCAGGCTCACGGAGTATACTCTCTGCACTCCCTTGCTAACTGCTAAAGCTTAATCTATTTTAAATAGGGCTCTCGTGTGCATGTGTGGCACGTTTGGCGTAGGTGTGTGCACGCGGTACGACGACGCGACGGAGGCGAAATTCTCACACTTGTGCGCGCGCGCCACCCCGCTAAGTGTAACTATCTCTGCAGCAGCAACGTCGCGTTGCTTCTCTCTCTCTCTCTCGTTTGGGAAATCTTCGTCGAAAGTTTTCGGTAATAAATGCGTATGTACTCGGTAACGATGGTGGCGGTGGCGGCGGCACCGTCAGTAGAAGCAGTAGCAGTAGCAGCAGCAGCAGTGGCACTAACGGCACACCAGCTGCACAGCCCTTATTTAATAATAAACGCTCTCTCGAAACCTTAATACCGGCGTGCTGAACTCGCTTAATGTCAATTTGTTTATGTTATTTGATTCATAAGGCGGCGGCGCGACGGTGGTGGCATACTTTGTGTAACTAGATTTTTGGAAAATTATTTTTCATCGAGAGCTGCACGCGCGTCAAGATCGGATGAAGATCTGCTGCTCCGCGCGACACGCTACGGCCGTAAAAGGGGAATTCAATTTAAAAGTTATTTCAACACAGTGAGGAGCGACTTTCTCTACCCAGCCCCCCCCCCCCTCTCTCTCGCTCGTGCCTCTCATCCTCTCTTTTGCTCTCTGTCGCTGCTGTGTTTTATTTTATTTTTCAATTTTTGGCCTCCCATCGTCGTCGTCGTCGTCGTCGTCGTCGTTGTTGCCGAAAGCTAATCGTAATCATGCATTTTCATAATTTACGCTTTAATAATTTTCGCAGCTGTACGCGCAGCGTGGAACGCGCGCAACGCATCGCTTCGCGTTCAATCATTGCAAATTAATATGTAATCCAATTAATGTCGAATATTAAGCGTGTGGCAGTAATATCTCTCTCTCTCTGCCTGCGACCCGCGAGCAAAAATCCGTGCTCAACTACTCTACAGGGCTCTCGCTAGCTGGCACGTGCATCACCGCGCCCCAGCCTCCGAAAATCTATATCGAGAGATGAGAGAATTGCGTAGCAGTGGCTCGATAAACATCCACGCGCACTCGATTAAGCGTATAGGGCAATTATCCTTAGCGCCCAAAGGTATTCCGATAGATTACCATCCTTTGCCATTTAGTTTTGGTATGTAAGCTTTCTCTCTCTCTCTCTCTCTCTCTCTCTCTCTCTCTCTCGTACACTACTACTACGCTTGCGAGTGTAAGACTATTATTTTTCTGATTATTTTTGTCTTATTTTTTTTACCGTCATACATTTAATTTCGAAAATTCCGAACTCATACGTGATAATAATAATGAGTATAAGCGAGCACGAATCTCGTCACGAATTTAAACGTACGTATAAACGCGCTCATATAGTACGTAAAATTTCAGTCGCGGCTCCGCAAGCGCAAAATTACCAGGGCACCTATTATTTACGTATGTTTGTAAACAGCAGCAACAAAGAGTTCCGAGATCCGAGAGTGAAGCTCGTCGCGTTATATATAGTTAAAATTTATCCAAAACATATAATGAATTTGACGCAACGATACATAATATACATTACCCGACTCTAATGTGCATATATATCTCTTTTATATATGATCGCTGAAAATACGCGAGCTTCGGTATAATAAAGTTTGAAAAGCTGTATAAATTAAAACCGCTTGCCCATGTAGATATATATACCATTATACCATATATAAATGCGCACACATATAAGCGCGTAAATATTACAAGGGTTTAAAGCATAAAAGTATAGTCGACTCGTAAAGGTTATCTCGCTCTGTGCAGGTGCTTTGCGGGTGGACAAAAAAACACACACACGTAAACGAACGCATACATTTTAAACTATAAGCCAAATAGGAAGGAAATAGTCGTACGAATGGTGAAACGTTCACGGGCCGTGTAACGTGTACACGTGTTTACGTTCATCGACGAGACAGAGAGAGAAAATTTATTGTTGAGTGTAAGATAGACGATTTATTACTCGCGACTCGATCATAATGCTCGACATACGTATATAATTACGTATACGTAAGTAGTGAGTCTCGTACGAAGACGAAAGTTTTCTTTTCAAAAAATCCAAAAATGGTGGACGCGGAAACGGTCGCGCTGACCATCGCCGTGTGCTTTGTGACTTTTTTGGTCGTCATCGCCGGGCAACTCCTCTACATCGGTCTGCTGCTCCGCAACGACGAGGTGATCATAAGGGTGAACATATTCTGGAGGAATCGCATGATTCGGCCAGGAAGTTAGCAACAACTTCCGAGAGAAACGTTCCCTGCACCGACGATGCACGCCAATTCATTAACGCACACGCCTCGACTGCAAGCACACTCGCACGCATATACTCAAACGACGAAAGCTCAAAAAGGATGTATTAATTTCAAGCGCAAGTAATAAATTTCAATCTGCGCAAAGTCACATTTCTCCTTCTCGCTCGCTCATTCGCTCCACGCAGCACAGTCGCGAAACATTCGCGCGCCCCGCGTTTATACCCATAAAATAATGACGAAGACGCGGGCGAGAGAAAAGCCGAGTTACACGTACTACTACTTCACCGTATCGCTTGGCTCGATCCTCGCCAGCGACGCGCTCGCGTACACAGCAGCGACTCAAATTTCCCACGGCGCGCGGCCTCGCTAAATTGTCTTTAAAACCTTCCAACGTTTCACTCATCATCCTCATCATCGTCGTCGTCGCGTCGTCATCCTGCGAGTCAAGCGAGAAACTCTTACTCTGCTCTTTAGGCGCGCCCTCGGCTCCTTGTGTTATATAATACACGACGTATATAAACCCACTCACTCACTCACTCGTGACACTATGGAAAAACTCAAAGTTTGCCAGGCGCGGCCCAAATCATCGCTTCATTATCTTATATTCATTGTGGAAAATTACGATAATGCGCTGATGTAACGTGTGTATGCATGTGTATATTTATAGCACTGGTATAGAAGTAGAAGCTTCATCGTCGTCGAGGCCCAAACGAGTCCTTCATCTTCCAATATTGAGTTTCATCAAGCGAGCGTGCCAAGCATCATCGAAAATTAAAGCGGCCGACTTTGCCGGGAGAACTCGTTCCTCCGCGGCTGCTGCGGCTGCTCTGCACGAGGCTGACGTCGTTTATGCGTCGTGTGCCTTAAAATCAAGACACGTTTATTCACAACTACTCAGCCTGCGGGGGACTGGCGGTTTTTCTTTTCTTATACCGCAAACTTTCTTCATTAGTATAATCAACCGCGTCGACGTAGAAAAAGCACTGTGTGTTATATAAGACATCGAATTAGCGTGCGAGTATAAATCGCGATCGAAGCACATCTGAACTTTTGCATCGTGGATGCATATATATTTCGAATTTTCTCAATGAGCGAGTCGAGAACTTGCAAATATAAATATCCCAACTGCATTGTGCAGAGTAAGTTTCAAATTGACTTTGATCGGATCAAAGTAGACAAGATAAGTAGACAAGATAAGAAATTTGGCTTACTATTGCGATATAAATGAAGCAAAAAGATGTAATTATACCGGTTTTAATGATATTAACCGTTGACAATGAATTGTTGCGCGAAAAAAAAGTTAAAATTTTAAGAAAAATTCTAGTTTTACGTAAAAACTCAGTAATGGTAGAATTATCATTTTTGATGTTATTTTACTAATATTTATTTTGATTGGCTAATTTTTATATATTGTTAATATAAATTATTAACTATAATTATAATTGTATCTTCATAATTAGATAATTGAGTTGTGAAAAATTATGCGCCGCGTAATTAGTGATATCAAACGAAAAAGTAAAAACGTGTGCACTGTTATATTTGAATTGCGTATATTAGAGCAGATGAGGGATGATAATATTTAAACTCATTTTTAACCGTACATAAAGAATCTCGAAATCTGATAATTATTTTTGTAGAGCTAAAATTTTAATAAAAAATATAATTATGTAAGACCTCGTGATAATCAAAGTAACGATTTGATCCAACTTTTTTTTCTTCATTTTACCCTACACGCAACGCAATGGAAATTTTCTCCAACGAAGTATTCTAACGAACTAACGAAATAAATAGATTATATCTGCCGGCAATCGCCGATCGCCACGCTACTCTTGCCGCTGCTGCTGCCCTAGATATAACGACGTCTCCGACTGCGCGGAGAGATAAGCCACGCGTCAGTGATTCATTTCGCGATTGAATATATAAAAGACGCTTCGCGCTCGATAATTGCTTTTCTCGCCCTGGACGCGGCTGCTGTATTTGCTGCCACCACCGATCGAGGAAAAGAGATTTTCAATTCAATGCGATGCAATATACACACCGGTAAACATCTATTAAAAACTATACATAAATTTGCAATCCAATGAAAATGAGCTTTTCGATCGAGCACATATTTTGTCCTTGCCATTATATCTATACGATGGCTCTCTTTCTCTCTGCTGTTAAACGGGTGCAGTACGAACGAGCTGGCGCGAAAACAATGATGAATCGTCGATACTTCAGCCGTTATATATACATACAGGTATCTCTCTCGCGCGCAGAGCTTTTGCGGATGGTGCATTATATAATAGGTACACTCGCACGTGTATACATATATATCGATGCTCGCTGCGTGCCGATGTGGCTGCACACATTTTTGCGCGCGGCGGCGTTGGAATTCATCCGAGTGATGAATGTGATTTTATGTTTGTACATTACACGAAAACACGCCACATACATACACAGTACACACACCGGAGGATGGAGCTTCTTTTTTTTCTTACCCTTGCTGCTGCTGCTGCTTCTTCTTCTTCTTCCTCTGCTTCTTCGCAATTTTTTTTCCTTTTTACGAATTTTGCGCGTGTTTTAATATAACCGTATTCATGGCGCTCCGTGCGAATATTTATGGCTTTTAAACTTTTGAATCCGTATGCGCAGAGCTCGCGAGTATTAAAATATGCTACTCGGACGTATACACGAGATAAGCACGGTACACGCGTATTACAGGAAATGACGTCCAGAATTCCGAGATGCTTTTTTTTCCTCTCCTCTCGTGTCCCGAGTTATTACAATTTCTGGGTTTTTGCGTAATAATCATTTACTCGAATGTATGGTCACAAATATAACAGTCGGTATTTAATTAAAAAAACATACAAATTATCAGAAAATAATACGATTGTTTGACAATCGATTATCGTGGTTAGACCACTTGAAGTAAACACAACAATTATAAAAACAAAACATAACGAAACAAAATTTACGAGTAATTATTTAAACGATCTCTTCCTTTCCCGTCGAAGAATCGTTAACAACGATACTTGGTACTTGGGTGCTTTGATGAACATCGCAAAGCTTCCTCTGCTTCTGTTGCTGCTGTTGTTGCTTCTTCAGTCCGGGCGAAAAACACTTTCGAATCTCCGAGACCGGTCGAATCGCGGCCTTCTCTGGCGTGGGAAGGTAATTGAGCGATCTACGACACACGCTGATGGTTGACCGGTCTAGATCGAGCCTGGACCTTCGTGGACTTTCTTTCTTGGCGTATATCGGCGACGACGACGACAACGACGCAGAAGCAGCAGTCGAGAGTCTCGGCGAGTTAGATCGTTGCGACGACTGCGCGAGGCGTCTCGGTGTTCTACGCCTCGGCGTCCGGCATCTCGGGCTCTTGGCCGAAGTAGCAGCAGCTGCAGATGTTCGATTTTTATGCACGAAGCTCGGGCAAGAAGTACCGACACCGGTTTTAAGAAGCTTCGATTGGTAAAACCCAATCAGCCTCTTGACCGTGCAGGCCAACGATCCTCGGTCAACTCTCGTCGTCTCGGCCTCGTTGACGTCGTTCCCGGCTATGTTCTCGAAGTGTTTAATTATTTCCGAGACTCTTACGTCGCACAAGGGGCTCCGGCAGTGACAGTCGTCGAACTCGTGTACGATCGTTTTCAATAAATTGAACGTCTTCGCCGAGAGGGGGAAAACTCGGTCGATGCTGTTGTTGTTGATGTTATTATTGTTGATGGTGCTGTCGTTATCGTCGGTGAAAATCAACGACTCGCACGAATCGAAGTAAACGTCATCCTCGCACACCATCGGCTTCGTGAAGACGCCGTTCTCCATTTCTCTCAGCAGCTATATAACAACGTAAAACGTGAGCACGCGTAAATATATCGGATACACGTACAGAGAGAGAGAGAGAGAGAGTTATATGGTTTACCTTTTACGATCTTCGACCACTGCTTTATACCGGGGCCAGATTTGGCACGAAGCTTATATATCCTATATAAAGATATCGCGCGATATTATAATCCCGGGGCGAGTATTAGTAGTGCCGCTCGCTCGATCGGAATAAAAAGTCAACCGGTATTAATCTTGGATTTAAATAATGCTCCGAGCTTAAGTCCTCTCTACAATATACAGATATATACATATACACGGGTAAGTAAAGGGAAACCTTTGCCTCGGACATTTCTGTATACTACGTTATACGACGAGGAAGAAAGGGGGGAAGGGGGCTGACGGACGAGACGCGATGTTCTCTCACTCTGTCTCTTTCTCTGTCGTCGCCGCGCGCGCGTACGCTGTCATCCGCAGAAACTCAATCTAAACAGGCCATACACACAGCACAGCTTTGCTTACTCTATCGCTCTCTCTCTCTCTCTCTCTCTCTCTCTCTGTTTGTGTATTGAAGGCAATTGGACGTTGTTGGGATTGGAGCCGCACGGAGATTTGCTTTGCTGCGTGCGCGGCCGTGCCGTATACAGTATTTCTCTCTGTCTCAAGCTCGGGCCTCTCTCTCTCTGTGCGCGTCATATTCGCGCTTTTAATTGAATTATTCAAGTATGAAATGCATGTATAAAGCATCGTTAACGCTTCTACATAGCAACTGCGGCTCGGATAAGTACATACATTTTTTTATATAAACAGTTTTAATCGCAGATTTTTATGTGTATAGAGCAAATAACGTTTGTACATTTACAGTATACAGTTTGTTCAGCAAGCAAAATAGGCCAAGTATTTCATGACTAGAGGCGAGCTTGTTATATAAAGGGCCATATGTATATAAGATGCAAAAAAAACCCTTATTGACACAAACGTCGTCGTATTCGTCTGCGAAGTCGCTCGCTATATGCCATTTAATAAATGAAAAAGAAAAAGGATGAATTTCGAATACCAGAAGCACTGCACGATCGCTGTGGAAATTGAAATTTCAGCACTTTTCCTCCAACATGGCCAAAGGATCCCTGCTGCGTGTATCGGTATGCATGTGTGTGCGTGTGCGTAAAGCATTTACAGAATGACTCGGTAACTTCCTCTCGAGCTTTTTGCGCAAGCACGTGCGAGCTTTCAAGGGTGGACGGGCTGCTGCATGGCACACAAGTCTCCTGTGAGATTTTCGCCGCTTCATCTCACTTTTTTTCGGTAGGTATATATAAGGCAACATGCACTCTCTCTTTCTCTCTCTCTCTCTCTCGACGGCGCGCAGTCGAAATAATATATGAAAGCACAAGCGCCACGCGCGCGAGCGCGAGGAAAGAGAAAGAGAGAGAAAGAGAGAGTTTGAATTAATGAAGTGCGCGCGGGAATACCGATATATATATGATACGTATATTATGCGCGCGAAGAAAAGAAAAGAACAAATGAAGTACGTTATATACGTGCTCGCATGCTATACTACTGGAGTAGCAGCAGTGGCCGTATAGCGGCGCAGAAAAGGCTTCTTTTGCCCTCGAGTGTTTTCATTAATCAAGCGAATAATTCATCTTATATACTCGACTTTTTTTTCACTTCTTTACACAGTGTCTCTCCCTCCCGCGCGTGTACTCAAACGAATTTCATTTCTTTTGTACCAGAGGCACCGAAAGTTTCCGCGCGCGAGTCATGATGATTATTATTACCCGGCTGATGATCATCAGCAAGTATCGAAGAGGGAGGAGGAGTCGGTTTCTTTTCAATTTAGTCAGCCCGAGGAAAAGGTTAATTATCTCTCTATCTTTCTCTCCTGAAACATCCAAGTTGGTGGGAAGCAAGGAAAAAAGATTCTCATATATATGTATCGTATCATTCGAGCGTTGGAATTAAATTTTTTTAATTAACGGCCAGGCAAACATAGCCCTGAGGCTTGCAAAGAAACTATCAAGTGCCGAGTACATATATATCCTCTCTTAATATATGGCTAATTCTCTGAGAAATCGAATGGCCTACCTCTTTTTTCTGCTGTTATGAAAAACTTGTACTTTTTCGTTTCGTACGCGTCCTCGAACGCCCCTAAAATTGTTGTAGCCATCTATGACGCTTTTTCATAGGCCTGAAGTTAGTGTACTTTGGAAATGTATGATTGATACCATAATATTAGAAAAATTGTTGGCTCAGAAATAAATTTGAATATAAATTTTCCTAGCACGGCCGCTTTACTTGAAAATTAATTTACAATTATCAAAGTTTAATTTACATGGTAGCTTTTAATTTGGTTCACATAAAAGCAACAAGTTTGAAAGTCCGAATCAAACTTAATTAGTTATACAAAATAACAAGTTTTTCATGGGACCAAAAGTAATTTTTGGCCTACGATTTTCTAGACAATCAGCCGCATACGAGCAATTCGATTATAATTTATTGAGGTTCCCAGAATATGGGACTATCCTAGAATGCTGTAACAATAACAATTTGGATTGGTATTTTTTCTATAGTCACTTTTAGAACGTGATTAGCTTTATGAAATTAAAATTAAAATAAAGAGTTTTACATTTTATTAATTTTACGATAAAAATGTGCTGTATTTTTCTGCAAAAATTTATTGATTTTGCAAAAATTTTAATATTACTTTTACATAATGACATAACATTAAAGAAACTTGTTGTAAACGAACATTTTTAAATTATTTATTCAAACGTTTATATTAAAATTTCTACGTTCATTGAGTTCTTTAGGTTCTTTGTTAAGATATCATTTTCATATACACTGCATCCTCTGCAGCCTCTCTGCGATGATTTCAAATATTAAATTAGGGTCTGGCTATTCAGGGGAAATTCGTATACGAAATTTTTAATTTTTATGTACGAAATTCTTAAATAAGTAAACGAAACTCCAAATAACCCGACATAACCCTATTTTCGTATACGAAAATCAAAACTTTCGTGCTCGAATTTCCCCTGAATAGCCACTTCAAAGACAAGCGAAGACTGCTGTGTTGTGCTCGCTATGCTTTGAAAAACTGTGTCCTTGCGAAGAGCGCCAGCTTATGCTCGATGAGCTCGATGAGCGTATCGTTGCGCTATCATGGATGAATACAAAACACATGCCAGGCAAGTGCACGGAGGTCATGCATACGACGTTCGACGTAGACAATAAAACGAGGACAGATTTCGGTCTTCGCTAATATTGCCGAATAGCTCAAATCCTATTAAATAATATTTACAAATTATGTCAAGAAATTATTTTTGAGAGCGAAGTGAAACTGAGTAATTATGATTATATTCTCATTTCTATAATGGGTAGTAAACATTTTTCGATCAATGATAAATTATTAAGAAAAAGTGAGATATTAAAAAATGATTCTATACGGAGCGTTCAGCGCACTGACAAAGAACTAGTTTCATGAAAATTAACCTTTTATTACAAATTTTACCGCAGTATTTTCCTCAATGTATAAATTTAAAAATTAAATTAATTTTTACTCGCCAACCATCAACTTCCTGAAAAAATTTTGTAGATTAAAAAGCTTTTAAAATTGTTCAAAAATACGTGCCAACGTTTTTTAAACCTTTTGGATTATTCAAAATCTAGTGCAATTGCAAATTCCTGAAGTGGTCTACGACCTCTAGTAACCCTTTGTGAAACTTTAATAAATAGTTATTAACGTCTATCAAACTCGTCAAGTGACAAAAATTTCAATTACAATTTTAGCCTCGAATTTCAAGTATTTGTTTGATAGAATTGCTCCCATACAACGTGCATGGAAAACGAAGATTCCGCCGTTAAATCGAAGCGTCCTTTGTTCGTTACGTCGAAAAAAAGCCTATAACATTCGCACGCGGATGGCGGATTATGTCGGTCGTTATACGCGTGCGAAAACGAGAACGACGACGACGAGGACGACAACACGCGTTTAGATATCTGGTTGCTTGCCAAACGCCATCTCCTCCCCTTAGCTTTAATAAGCTCCACCGAAACTTTGCGAAGATGTAATAAAAGCTCACACCTCGTCGCCGTTGCACCCGTTGCCATAGTGCGTTCGAGCGCGCGCATCTTCGTTATATAAAATATCCTTGTGTACGAGATCAAGCCAACGGTTTGGCCCACGTTATTATTCGTTTTTTTTACGAAATAAACGTTAACGTTGTTTTAATATTTATCGGCCGTTACGCGTAAAATAATTTAACTCCCCGATAACGATCGGGCGATGGGCAGCAGGTTCGAGCCTAGCTACCACCCCCCGGCCGTGCGATGATCGTTTCGCGAATATTTTTACGACTTTTTTCACGCTAATAGATTGAAACGAGGCGAGGGTATTTATATACATCGGGGGTATATAATACGGTTATTTCGGTTACGCGCTACACTACCCTGTATTAATTTCGACGAGACAGCGTTGTTAAGGATTTAAACTAAAAACGAATTGATGCGATTTATTTCCATCTGAGATTGCATTATATGTATAATATAATACGTTTTAACACCTCATCACCTTCATCAATGACACTCTAATATTGCAAAAAGGCTATTTTTAACTATTTTATTCGATGATCGAAACGACCAACGTGCATAACATATCTAAAATTATAGAAACTTTGTTGTCATTTGCAGAGTTTTTCTTTAGTTTTGTAGATTTTTATTGGCATAATTTCTCATTACATTGCCAGAACACTTTTGCCACTTGCAGATTTACTATCGTATAAAAGTGATAAAAACTGGTTCAAATTTTATCGAACAATTTATTTGTCATTTTCACGAAAATCGGTCTACTTAATCGTTAATGGCTTCAATCAAAGTCTATAATCCAAGACAAAAGTGCAAAATACTACATAAACCTAAAGATTTGGTTGCGGATAGTAGGTATATATGCGTCAAGCCAAGGATAAAATGAAAATTTTCAAACTCTTTTTTCAAAATAAAACTACTTTAATATCTTCATTTTGTAATTTTCTAAACATTAACCAAGTTTTTTTTCAAAAAGTACTCGGTAGAAATCCTGAAATAAAGTTTTCATTTGAATCTTGGCTTTCGTATCTCCTTAAATGATATTTTAGGCACCTAATGTCACGATTGAAGGTAGTTGTTATATCATTCCTCTCTCTTGCTCTTACTTCAATGCGTGCGACACATTTTCATGCAAAATACCGAAAATTTCGTAGCGTACGCAGAAATTGTCTCGTGTGCTAGCGCATAATAACCCGACGCGAGTCGCTCGTCGTCGTCGTCCTCGCCCAGACGGTCAATTACGTTATGCTACACAGATTCCCTTATGTGCAGCACACACACACACACACACATACACATATTTACATTTGGCTTGGAAGTTTGAAGCATTTCTCACTCACTCACGTCGCAAAATTTTGCATTATTATTGCAGCGGCAAAGCGGAAAAACGGAGGTGGGCAGCGTAGTTGGGCCATGAAGGCTGGCCTCTTCCTGTTGGCGTGTGCCTTAATAGCTGGTATCGGCTTGCCTTTGGCTCTTGAACTCAGGAGCTCGAATCTGTTGGAAGCCAGACTGAGGGTAGTGAGGAAAATTCTCTCCAAGACTCCGCTCATCGATGGGTAAGTACATTATATCGGTGCCATCACATTGCCTTACAGAACTTTTATATTTTCATAAGTATAATATATCTCCGATGATACTATTAAACGCAGGTGAAAAACATTAAACCATGTACTTAAATAATTTTAATTTATTCTTTGGTTATAATTACAAGAGCAGCTATACGAGCTATCATTACCATGTATTTAAAACTTTTTTTCTTTTCCTCTTTTATATATATTGTGCGTTATATTTGAAATTATAACGAAAATTAATTATCAAAATCCAGGCCGAGCCTAGCAATAACGAGACTTAAAACAAAACACATAAGATAATCTCTGTATATTCTTTTACTTTCTCTCTTAAACATACATTCGAGCCGCTGCTTTTTTCCCCATAACTGCAGCGCAAGCTCCTCTGCCCGAGTAATATTTAAAATTACAACGGGCCATGGTAGTAGAGATAGATTATTTTCTGGATATTAAATTGCGAAAATAATTTCGATGCGCGTCCAAAGCTGGTCTGCTATCTAAACGTAACTACATTATATTTTTTTTCTTTCAACAATTTTATAGCATACGATAATTCGAGTTAATTTTTTCGCTATCCACTGACATGCGAATTTAACGTTTTAAGCTTTTGAGCTTGCGGTTTACATAGATTCCACATGTCCTTGATTGTGCAATCACACATACACGTATGCTGCTGAACACTTAAACCCAAAGTAAATCAAGTCTTGATTACTCGGCAGAAGTCATATTGACGCGCGGGAGTGTCTCGGCGCGCAACGTAAAATCAACATAGGAACGCGACGACGACGATCATCGACATCGTTGCGGGGGGAGGAAACGTTCACCTCCTTTTCTCTCTCTTCTCCCCTCTCCTCCTCCTCCTACTTCTCCCGAAAACCATTCCAAATGTGTCCCACAATGAAGCTTTTGCCAGCCGCGCTCAATTTGTATACATATACATGCTGTATAAATTTGCGGTGATCATTGCCGCACGGTGTTATAAATACGGCAAGCTCCGAGTGGCGGTGTGTGCGGCTACAGTGCGCGCGCGGCCTCGTTTGCCATCTATCTCTCTCTCTCTCTCACGCGGGAGGAAAGCTGTACATGTATCTCTTTTTCTCTCTCTCTTGGTCTGTCCCACCCACTGCAATCGCGCATAATGTAATTTAATTAACGCTCGCTCGGCAAGCGACTGTAAGCTATTTACACAATGCGCGCGCGCGCGAGAGCAGCAGTAACAGCAGCAGCGGCGATTATACACGTACGTATATACCGAGTCGCATGCGCACAGCTAGTGCAGCGAACAAAAGCACAAGAATATATATGTACGCACACGCATATATATAGAAAGCATTACGCAGCAGAAAAGTTGGAAAATTCATAGGGTGAAATACTCTGTATATAATTAAATTATCGTGCGCGCGCGCGCCGCCGCCGCGCTGTTATTTCAAAGGCTCACGGAGGCCAAGATTAGTCAGACGAATAAATGTAATAGCTCCGTGAACTGCAGCGGGCGATTCATTCGATTATTACATGATAATTGCGAGTTTTATACGAGCCGCCGAGCGAAAACATCGCAAGCCGTAGATATACATAATATCGTGTATATATGTACGCCGCGCGTACAAAATTTTCCAAGCGGAAGATAGAGAGAGAGAAAGAGAGAACGAGAGAATATCCTCGCCCGGGGATTTTCATTTTTTTTTTTTTGCTCAATGGTCCATAATTTTTTACCCGCGAGAGACTTCATGAGTATACATAAAAAAGCGCAGTGTGTCAAGGCGTGATATCGAGTTCGAGCTGCGAAAAGTTTCATCAAGAAGAGAGATACGAGGTCACACACACAAGCACGTGATAAAAAAAATTAGTTTTCTCGCGCGCGCAATATCGTTGTAAAGCCTCGAGATTCGCAAGCTCTCTGCTGCTGCGCGCCAATATATAAATTAGGCCGGGTATATATCGAGGACTTTGAGCGCGCCACGCGACAATTGATTTGGCTCAGGCGGGATCGATTGTTGTTGGGCAATTCGGAATGATACTGCCGGGTCGCTGAGCTGCTGCTGCAGGCGGCGCGTCGATGGGCATATACACCGGGCAATTTATCGCGCCACGTCTCTTCGATCCCTCGAATGCAAGCTATACGGGGGAAATCGACGATCACTTGTTATCCTGCCGCTCGCTGTGCTGCGAGCGCACGTTTGTTTAACTTTGCCGGAGCCCGGCATTGGAGTGCGAGCGCGCGCGTCCTTTATAAATGTATAATACCGCGAAAACAAAAGCGGAAAATTTCGACAACTAACGAACGAACTGAGCGAGGAGATTGGACTGACAGATATGGTTAACTTCCAGCTGCGCGAGCACTGCGTGAACAACAATTTAAATAGCTTTAAAGTTTAACAAGTGTACTGCAGCTTCGAGCGCAGCTCGCTCACTCACAATTCGTCTCATCGATTTCTCTTTCCATATATTGCAGTCACAACAATTTCGCGTGGACGCTGCGCAAGCAGCGCGGCAGCACCCGACTGCGCGACGTGCCCTTCGACGAGGACCTGTCCAAGAACAGCTCGTGGGGCCCGAGCTGGCAGACGGACCTGCTGCGGCTGCGCCGCGGCATCGTCGGCGCCCAGTTCTGGTCGGCCTACGTGCCCTGCGAGGCGCAGTTCCTCGACGCCGTCAAGCTCACCCTCGAGCAGATCGACGTGGTGCGCCGGCTCGCCTCCAAGTACTCGCGCAAGATGCGCCTGGTGACGAGCTCGAGCGAGCTCGAGCAGGCCCATCGCGACGGCATACTCGCGAGCCTGGTGGGCATCGAGGGTGGACACAGCATAGGGGCGAGCATGGCCGTGCTAAGGAGCTTCCATCATCTCGGCGCGAGATACATGACGCTCACGCACAAGTGCAACACGCCTTGGTGAGTTTGCGGACCATTTTTTATCTCTCTCTATCTCTATCTCTCTCTCTCTTGCACATTATATTATGCGACGTAGCAGTAGTGGTAGAACGACCAGCAGCACGAGTAGCGACGTGCACCCAGCTGCATGGCGCGGTGGCATAATTTTACGATCTTATAACTATCCCCAGAAACTTTGCTGCTAGCTGTTCGTCGTCGTCGTCGTTGGCGGCGGCGGCGGCGTCGAATCGACTTCCGTATCGCAGCGTGGCATTATATCGGTAATACTCTAGAGGGTATTATAGTACACGAGCGACGACGACGACGACGACGACGACGACGACGATGACTACGAGGACGAAACTTTATTAATATAGCTATCGGACCTGCCGCAGCGCGTTAAAAACTACACAGGGAAGCTCGACGATGCACGCTTACTCGCGCACACGCACAGTACAGCACACACATAACAGCAGCTTACACACACACGCACACAGAGACTCGATGCTATCGAATGGCCCGATGGCCGTGTGCGCCCGTAAAATTGTTTGTGTACAATGTCGTTGCCGTTGTTGCTGTTGTTGTTGCTTGACTGGCCCGTTGTTGATTTTTTTTTTATCGTTTCGTTCGAGCCTCGGAGGGGTGATGGACCATTTTCTTCTTAGCTACTGGACGCGCGGGTATATGCTGTAACACGCTCGCGCACACGTGCACTTTTTGCACCCATGGAAAATTCAATTATTTTCAACAATGCCCCATGTGCACATACACGCACACACACGGGGCAGTAGAGATGGAAAGGCATAATTCAATCGCACTGCGAGCCCGAGTGTGTGTATGTGTAACACAGCGCAAATGTAATCTCTTTTCTTTATTTTTCGATTTAATCGAGCGCGACGTACGTTTTATTTTTCCCTTGTTTGCCAGAGCTCAATCTCTAGACGTGTAATATGCTCTCTGTACGCGGATAGTTGTAAATTAGCCTTTTCGCTTGCATGCACGTATGCATGTGCGCGCCGAAACAGCAAACAATCGATCGCGCAAAACGAAACGTACCGTCCTATATGTAGTACAGGCAAACGTCGCATATTTTACATATAAACACAGTTGGCCGCGCGCGAATTTCATTAACGCGTTGCTGCGCCATTTGAAATTTAATCTAGCTTTCTATATACTCGCGAGTCCCGCGCGCTGCATAGATATTTGTACTACATATATTTAAAGTGTGTTAGCGCGCGCAAAATCATTAACTATTTATCTCTAAGTAACGCGCTTCCGAAAGACGACGTGTAATATTAAACGCGCTTTTGAACGAGTCATTTACTCGATATACACAGAGTTGGCCATTTCGAAAACGCGATTTAACTATGTGACACGTATGTGACGCGATTATATTGCTTCTTGAGGTTTTTTGTCGCTTCGGCCGGCCCGATATCGTGCATAAATACCTGCAGAGAGGTCAATAAATTCGCTACATATACGTTACACGCGAAAAGCGCTCCCGTGTGCGTGCCATGCCATTAATTTTGCAGCTTACATTTAATTTTGGCTCCGAAGAACACACACGCATACGCTCGCAAAATGCACGCATACACATTATCAACGCAAGCTCGCGCGCGAAAAAGCTCATGCATAACGCGCACACACACACACACACAAATGCCACCCCGGGCCTTTGTTTTTAAACATCGAAAAAGAGCATCGCCGTGTAATTACTAAATACACGGTATACAGTCACGCGTGCTATAGCGCGCGACTCGTTACAATCAAAATTCATATAAAGCTCACTGTGTGAAAGAGCGTCGCGAGCACAAGCGTGCCCGAGCAGAGCTACTATAACTGCACGCGTGTGAAAATACAAATCTTTGTGTTCTCTCTCCCTTTCGCTTGTTTTTTTTTTTTTTTGTTTGTGGCCTTTTTTAAACCAACGTATATATTTATATGAATACGCGCGCGCGCACAAAATGCAATTAATTTTTGTTTTAATTAAAAAAGTTGGCTGTAAATTTTTATCTTTTTTTTTCACTGCTCTCTTCTCTCTCTCACTCGCTTCTTTTTTACATGCAATAGCAGCAACAGCAGCAGCAGCAGCACATCGACGTGTGTGCATGCTCGCGCGCATTATATACCTATATAACCCCCGTGTGCTGCCTGTACTGGGGCAAAAACACAAAAGTCTTTTCCCTTGCTTTTCTTTCCTTTTTTTTACACTGCGCCTGCAAGCTCATACTCACACACATATATATATGTACACCCACACGCACAACCTGCCGAAATTGTTTTTCTCGCCGTGAAATGACCCTTGAAGCTCCCGCACGCTCGTGTGCAGCGGCGGCAGCCATAGCAGCTCTCCTAGTCTCGAGAGAGTATTTCTCGACTATATATTACGCTTGCGTGTGTGTATGTATATGTACTTGCGCGCCTCCTCTCCGTATCCACATGTATATAGAGCACAGAAATAGACGTACGGGCGAAACGTTTAAATTAGATCCGGGGGTTGTTGTCAGGGAGAAAGAAAAAACCTACGGGGCATTTTCAGGTGTCGGGTGGCTGCCCGCACACCCAATCGCGGCTCGCGCGCGAGAAATAAAATTTGAAAATTCGTACCACCTGTGTAATATCTTCTTTCTTTTTCTTTTTTTTTATGTATTTTTACACACGTTCGAATACTCAGGCGCGTGCCAATTGTATTGGTATTTTTCAATTCATGTTTATGTAAACGCGCGTCGATCGAAGGAAGCTGCAGCTGTCGCGCGTCCACATACACGAATGTACCCTGTGCGCATTTCCCTCACGATTTACGTATACACGAGTGACCCACTTTTTACTCGCTCGTAAGAAAAATCGACATTTACGGCACTTCTAGCGTGACAGATCAGTGCACACATATATGTGGGCGCACGTGCATAAACTTTATGTAATTGATGCGCATGCCAATAATTCACGATATTTTCTCTGTCTCTTTCTCGCATGGCTGCTGCGCTGCAGGGCCGACTCGGCGATAGCCGACGACCCGGACAAGGACCTGGTGACGCTCGGATTCTTCAGCGACGGCCTGACGAGCTTCGGCAAGGCAGTGGTGCGCGAGCTCAACCGGCTGGGCATGCTGGTCGACCTGTCGCACGTCTCGGTGCGCACGATGCGCGACGCCCTGGCCGTCTCGAGCGCGCCCGTCGTCTTCTCGCACAGCGCCGCGCGGGCCCTCTGCAACTCCTCCAGCAACGTACCCGACGACGTCTTGAGAAATTTGGTAAATCGATGATCGATGTGATTTTATCCTCCTCAATCCTCGGGCTAAATATGTAATATGGAAAAAGATTTTGATCCGCTTATGTGCATCACACCAGAAATACTCGAGATAATTTTTTTTCTCGTAGCTCATCCGGGCATCCGCACATTTTGAGTCAATACTCGTGTTGTTGAGATAAGAAAGTTCAGAACCCAGATAATAAGCGAATAATCTTGTAATCCATCTTCATGATTCTTTTGTAAGAGTGAGGATAATACTTACAATAATGTTTTAAGTTCTTTTTTATGAATCAAAATTTATCTCGAGAACTAAGTTAATGAGTTCCAATTTTTTTTCTATAATAACTGATTCAAAATTAGTTAGAAGTCGTGCAATAAACGTTCACAAGTTTCGAGACTGATTTCGCCTAATAGGACGAGTACTTTATTTGTTAAATGATCCAAAAACCCGATAAAAAGCCATTAATTAATGTTCGCTCGGCGAGATGCGGCGTAACAGTTGGATCAACCCAATTAAATTATTTACATCCCAGCGGGAGAGCGAGTACTTACCTTCTCTATACATCGGTTGGTTGGGCAAATAACGCATTCGTTAGATTCCTTATGTATACGCGTAGTACTCCCCATTAAAAGTTAGAATTTTGTTTTTCAGTCATGAGAGCGATTATTTTCACAAAGCATAAAAGCCATGAGTGTGGCCAGGATTAAACTAATGTGGGTGCCAATTTCAAATTTTCCGCCCTTTGCATTTTTCAATTTTTATGAGTAATTGTAAGCATTCAAAAAAAATTCTTTTTATGATAAAGTAAAAATTAAAATTATGTGAAAATAAATTTATTTGACTCTGCAGAAGTAAGTAACCGAACTGACCCGAAAATTTCATACTTGTGGCTGTAAACAACCCATATGAAGTCACCAAAGCTACGTAGCTAAATTAAAGCACTTATAAAAAAAATTACATCTACAATATGCTAAGAGTACATTGCATTTGAGGAGGTTACTAATTATGTTGTACAATGCAGCTTTGTCAGGCTTAGTCTACATTCCGATCTTAGTTAATGTCCGAAAAACGGGATGAAAATGGCTGAAATTTGTCGCAGTTATTCACAGCAACAATACGGAGGGCTCCACAAAGCCGTTTTTCGAAAATCAGCCTGGAAAAAAAGTTGCGAAAATATACATTTTCAATGCTCGGTCGGCCAAAATTGGGGCTTCGGCATCACCTTAATCTGGTTTACAAACCATCTAGTTTATTTAAGCCAAATTTTTCTACCATACCTAGTTCAAAATCAAGTTTTGAGCCTTTCGCAGAGCTTCTTCTAGAAGGAAGTAAAAAAACTTGAATTGGGTTGCTTAGGTTACTTATGGTTACAAGTAAAAGTTCAAATAAATAACTTGAGCTGGATCGATTCAGTCACAGTTTCACTTTCATAATCGACATGAATTAAAAAAACTACTAGCTGGGCCATTTTAGTTACTTAAGGGAAGTCATACACCAATTCACTCCTCTTTGGCATTTTTGTGATATAAATTACAGTTACCAAAGGTCTCTATCTCAAAAACTCTGATCTGAGCCTTGCGCATAGTGCCAAAATGCTGATGTACAAGTTTTTTCCACATTTTTAGGGCTCAAGATGCCAATTTTATGTTGAAAGTGTAGATTGACATTTAACTGTAATTTATGTCACAAAAATGCCAAAGAGGAGTGAATTAGTGTATAACTCTCTTTAAGATTACTCATTCAAGACAATTACTTTGCGCATTTTTACACCTCCAGAAAGAGGATACAACGTTTTTTGTGACCGTTTTTGGCGCTCCTTAAAAAGTAGTGTGGGGGCCACGGCAATGAATTTAAAGCTTTTTCAAAGTTTCCTGAAAACGTACAAACATTTTTAGCGATTTCGAGAAAAGCTTTCATTGTGTTTTTTAGTAATTGTTTAATTTTAAAAAGCTTTTATGAAAGGTTGCAGTAAGATTTCTGGAAGTTTAAAAAAACTCAAAATATCGTAAATTTCAACTTTAATTGTATCCTTCCAATGGGGTGAAAAATAACTGAATAGAAACTTTTCGAAAGCTTCCATTGAAAGCTTTAATGGGTATAAGCTTTCGTACTGGGTAGGTCGTATAATATTTGTGTACACGGGAGATTAAAATGAATTAAATTTATGTGTACTAATGTAAACTATGTACGAATTCACATGGAAAATAAAGTATAATAGCGAGTACGTAATATTCCAGATTTTCATTGATTCTCATTGAAATGTTTCAGTAACTCCGATAAAATCTGGTATTTACAAAGTAATAATACGAAATTCATACATCCAAAAAGAATTTCCCGAAGTTTACGTGAGGGCATGTGATTCATGCGTTTAATTAGTGTTTCATTTCGTTCACTCATACTGTTTAGCGTGTATTGCACAGAAAAAAAGTTTGTCGGAAAGCTTTTGACGATAGATGCAGATCATTGCACGACGTTTTATTACAGTGTACGCGCGCGTGTATAAATATACATGGGCGCGCATTCCACTGTATATTCGTCGTATCAAAGCCATTAGTCGCTAGCAAATGGCTTTGCTCGTTACATACAGAACATACCGTGTACCTATATGTACAGTAGTCGAGCTATGATTTTCGATTGACCGAAAACTTCGTAAATGCACACACAAGCGGCGGAACGTGCAGCGCACACAATGTTCCGATGTAGGGATTTCTCTCTGTATGTACCGAACGTTATTTACGATCTTTCATGATGTATAAATACGAAATGATTGCGAGAGAGGAGTAAAAGGAGAACACGAGGTTTTTTTCATACGAGCGTTTCATTGCCACGTGGATAATATTGGGTGTGGGAAAAAGAAGAAATAAAATAAAATGATACACACACGCCGTGGCAAAACCACATACGCAGCCCGTAAAGCTTTGGTGAAAGCTTCGGCAAAGAGAACGTAGAAAGAGAGAGAGAGAGAGAGAGAGAGAGAAGAAAGTAAAATCCTCAAGCTGCCACGGGTTCGGGTACTTAACGAAATTTATCTGTCTTTTATTGCTTTTCTCTTCCTTCGGCACGCGTATATACATACGTATACGTACGCTCACGCAAGGAGTCAGAAAATTTACTGACCAAAACAATAGTCCCAGTCCCGCTGGACCCAGGCGGTCAGAGGTAAAGGATGCGCCCCAAAAAAAGTAGAATAAGAAGAAGGATTTGAAACATTTTAAATGTAAATTTTTGCGAGAGGAAGAGAGGCATATTCGCTTAATAACGCATTATATATAGCGCAGAGAGTGCGCGCGAGTCGCGCCAGTCATAAATTGCATTTAATTAACTCGTTAAACTTTAATCTACGTATAAAGGCACGACGAGCACGGCTTCCCCCCGCCCCCGGCCCATTTTCCCCGATGCAGTTCTAGCGCTCACGTCCTTATTTTCTATAACGCATTACGAGAAGAAGAAAATTCCACGGCTCGATATTGCTGGCCGCGAGTACTGTAAGCGCAGCAGCAGCACGACTTGTTCGTTTTCGTGGCGCGTTGATGGCGCAGATGGAGGCCGGGCGACGGGGGAGAAGGAATGATGCAAGTTTTCGGGCGCGCACACAATAAAGCAGCACTTGCAAACGATCAATTATGCCGCGGGGGCTGCTGCGCGGCCGAGCTTTTTCTATTTTATCGAATTTTCCGGGGGGCGCTCGCTGCGCGCGCGGAAGTCGCGGCGTCTCCATTGTCAAAAAGTTTTGCCTCTAACCTCGACGTAATAACGGCCGCATGGCGCTATATGTGTGCATTGTGTTTGTGTGTGTGTGTGTGTGTGTGTATGCGAGTGGCATTTTACGCATCAGATCCAAAACTTATTCCACGGTTGTACCGTCACGCTCACTTCTCTGTAGCTATATACGTATCGTTGCAACTATACACACACAGCCCTGGAGCCAAAAGATTAAAGTCTGAAGTTAAATTGCGTTATTAATCACTTTGTATCGCGCAAGTCTCTGCCTGGCCACACACACAGACATACAAACGCGCGCACACACACATGTGTGGATAATAAAACGCCTAGCGCACTGGACAGTATAAATCGTTACGAGAATTCTTTTCATATTTTTCTCTCTTTCTCTCGGTCTCTTTATTTTTCATCGCAGGCGCGTTTGGGCCAAAAAATGCGCGTCTTTTATGATCGGTTGGAGAGTCGTGTTTTGCCAGCTAGGTATACGATGAATTTCGACGTTTACTTTTCTAACTTCTCGCCACCAATGAATTTCATTGCGAGTACGCGCGATGCACGACGTTTATTTGCTCGGAATTATATCGCGCAAATAATCTTGATTTAAATTTTTATTCATATATCGTGTACGCGTATGGACGAGTGTGTGAGCATATATCGTATGTATGCAAAATAAACATCCAGAGAAATGGAGGTTGCTCTTCTCTCTCCTCTCTCTCTTCTCTCTCTATTTATTATTTTGGCCCAGAATCGAATCACTAAAAGCGAACGTACATTACTTTCGAAGCTGCAGTGTTTCGCCGGACTCGAGCTACTGCTACTACCGCTGCTGCGCGTGTAATCAATATTCAATTTTTTTTCACTCTCATCTGCAGTAGTAGAGAAGTCGAATTATACAATATTTCAGTATTCAATATACTTTGTTCGATAATGGAAAAGTAAATAAACAATAAAATACACACTATGCGTGGAAGGGGGCACGTCCTGACGTACATGTTGTAAATATTCAATGAGGACGACGACGACGCACATTAGCGTGCTCTCAGCTGCAAGTTCATTGACCTATATGAAAGCTTCCTACGTTTGTTCACCTTAATACTAATAAGGCGCCTATATGAGATCTGTAACTCTGATTTTCTGTCAACATTTTTGGGGACCGCTTGGACACTATTATTTTAATTACACGTCCTCCTGGGAATTTTCAGTTGTGTACCCCCTGCGTGTAAAATATTCCATTTATTTTCAATTGAAAAATCTTTACGATTTTTTATCTCGAAAAGAACTGCTCCGAGGAAAAATGGTTAGAATTAGTCAAAGAATGATAATCCTTTTTCCAAATGACTCCTAAGTCCCATCGGAAAATCTGGACTCGGGATCTCGCGTGATCTGCTTGCATAAGCTTATTATGCACACATAAATATCTTATAAATATAATATGAATCTTTTCTTTCTTTTTTTCCATCCTATCGTCGGCTTGCGATCACACACGCGCACTGGACTTCAAACCGCCCCCTCGACCGTCGTCATATCCATGTAGACGCTAAACGGTGGCCTGGTGATGGTGAGTTTCGACAGCGCCCATCTAAGCTGCGGAGATAAGGCATCAATGCACGACGTCATAGGTGAGCGAGCATCATATAGATATATATAACCCTCTATACTTACTCGAAAGACCTGATAAACGTTTCAGATAAGACCTCGGGATGGCATACACATATATATCTATATATTATAATGCATAAAGCTGTGCTGCAAGCCGTGTTTACGGATGGAACGTCGGCTTTTATGCGGTTGTGCGTCGAGAATATATAAATAATATTTTCATCGCTCGTCATTATCATCTTCTTCTTCTTCTTTGTTGTTGCAGCTCATATTAATCACATAAGGAAAGTAGCCGGGGTCGATCACGTCGGACTCGGCGCAGGATACGACGGAATATCGAGGTGAGAAAACTGGCATAACAATAAAATAATTATGCTACCTTTTTTATTTTCTTCCCGTGCAACATCTCTCAGAGCAATTTGCAAATCAAGTTTTTCTCTCTTTTGTGCTCTCTCTTTATTTTTTTATTCACTTCACTCGAGGACGATTTTCTAAATAAAAATCCTTCTCTACCCTCGATTTGCATAAAAGTTCTTTACGTTCATACGTATTACTCTCTGCTTCTGCTGCTGCTGACTTCTTAAAAATTTCAAAATTCTTCTCTTATATGCTCTGGGCGAGCTGCTGCTGCTGCTGCTTTTGCTACTACTACTACTGCTGCTGCTCGTGCCACGCTATGTGCGAGTGTCTATGTATGTATGTATGTATGTATGTATAAGCGGCCGTAAAGTTCCTTTTGATACTTTGTATGTGCTCGTGGAGGGGTGAGTGCCGAAGCTCTCCTCTCTCGCAGCGCTGAAGAGTCAGATCAGGATTTTATTACATCAATTTTGTAAAGGGTAGATTCAGCAGAAGCAGCAGTAGCAGTAGCAGCGAACATCGCGCGCTTATACGTGTACTTTACAACCCTTGAAATTTTTCTGTCAAATTCACTCAACGTGCACGTAGCACACAGTAGGTAGCTGAGGCTTGGACCGACGCGCACGTCTGGCCAAAAGAAGATAAAATTTCGAAAACTCGATGTATAATTTAAAATCGCGTCGAACACGCGTGTGTGTGTGCGCGCGTCACGATATCCATCGATAACGAAGCAACTTTCCGGAAGGAGAATCGATTCGCGTACTCGCCGTGCGCGCGCGCATCTCGTTTAAAAAAAAATAAAAACGCCATCAAAACTTATCCTCTTTTCTTGGCTCTCTAGCGCGAGCTGACGGACTATGCGAGCTTTATGTGCCTCGCTTGCTTCTTCTTCTACTTCTTCGGGTTCTTCTCCTCTGTACAAAGATTCAAAGAAAAGCTTCGTCCACTCCGCGACTTTTCTCCCAGGTGAATGCGAAAAATCCACTTCTCTTCTTTGCTCGAGAGGATCCTTTCATAGAAATAGTCGTTTCTTCTTGCTGCGTTGGCCACCACCACCACCAATGGCGCGAAGAATTTGATAATAATTTAGCCTGACCGTTCGAAAAAAAGAAAGGAATTATTGAAAAGTGTATAAATAAAGTGAGGCATAAAAATAACTACAAGTAAACGGGGTTGATTCTCATTTGGCATCCGAAAACAATTAAAATTGAACTTGTTGAACAAGTCAGCAAAGACGAGACGACGCGTCTCATAAATTAACGTCGACGAAATTAAGCCGCGCATGTTAGTGGATTTGACGCGCGCAGCATACACACACTCACGCACACGAATAATGCGTGGTCGGACGAGAACGATCCTTCAATGCCAAATGCAACGTGGTTTACTTTGCCAATGAGATGTTTCGAGCTCGAATATAGTAAATTACGAGCTCGCTGCAGCGATGTTATTTATTTTCCCTTTTTTTTCGTAATTTTTCATTTCATTATAACTAATATCGAGATGTAATGTAAATAGCTTTTTTCACCGTACCGCTTTTTGTAATAAAATTCGTTCCATTTCCTTTTTTTTTGTTGTACGTAAAATATCGAGTGTACACGATTTTTTTTCGTAAACACGGTACAATATTTTCCTCTTGCAAGTCGTTTCGTATTTCTGCGCATTATATAAATATCTGTTCTCTTTTTTTTTTTTTTAATAATACAAATTATTTGCTTTGTTGAACAATGTTTTTAATCATCGCGTTGATTGAATACAAACCTATCTGCTTTCGTTTTTTTTATGTCCCGATACGCAAATTTTCAAATTCATCGGAATCACGTTTTTTTTTTATTTGCTCGCATCAGCAGCAACAGCGATCGAACGTAAACATCGTATTCACTGCTTGCACATGAGGTATATAAATATAATACATGCTTATGATCGCGAGGCACATAAACGAGCTCGGTCATATATGCGGCAGATATGATTCTCGGCTGAGGCACGAGCGTCCGAAAAAAGAACAGCTTCGCGCGGCCGAGCGTAAAAATAGAAAATTTGCACAAACCGTCGTAGTGTGCCATGGTGTATAGATAGAGAGAGGAGAGAGCTCCTCTGAATAATGCAACAAGCTGTTTGTACGAAATTTATAGGAGTCAATGTTTAAATTTAATTCAAAATATATTCCAATGTATTCCAGCGCTGCTCTACCTACGTTTATATATAGTATATCGCGCGAGCGGGCGTGGGCAGGCAGGGAAACATATTTAATGCAAAAGGGCAGGAATTTCTCGAGTGTTGCTCTCGCGTGCGCGCAGGGCTGAAGGTGATTCCATGCTCCACGGTCCACAGTCGGTCGTGTATATATCTATATGCGCGAGAATATTCTGTCTCTCTTTTGCGCACAATGCGAGAAATTTCGAACGTTGTGCGCCCGGCCATATTATATGTATATAATACGGAATATCTCGATGGCTGTATAAGCGACGAAATACATGTATATGACAGTACGTTACCTATTCAATATCCTCGACGAGCTTTCGCTCTCTCTTCCTCTCCTCTTCCTCTTTCCCTCTCTCTCTCTCTCTCTCTCTCTCTCTCTCTCTGGGCTACATTGTGTTTATGTTGTATTGCACTATAGCGCGATGTTTTATTAGGGCTTTAACGTCCAGCTCGCTCGAGCGCCGCGAAAATTATTTGCCGTATATATTTCGTGTCTCGGACGTGTATTATGAATTACATGTATATATATACTGCATATACAGCCCACGTAACTACGGCCCCGTGGCATTCGAGCAATTCCATTTATACAAAACGCGAGATATGCTGCGTACCATTTCTATGCTCGAGATGTGCTTTTTTCTTTATTAACTAATTTTAACGGCGAAATCTTTTATCTTTGGCAGGCAGCTATATGGACGAGTATAGTGAAAGACAGAGAGCGAGAGAAGGGAAATAACGCCTCGAGCTTGCGAGCGTGTTGCAAGCGCGATTTGCAATTTAAAAGCTGTAGGAGGAGGTGGCGCGCTGCTCAATTTACAAGTCTGCACCCCCTTAAATCCCACCGCTTCGCTCTCTCTCTCTCTCTCTCTCTCTCTCTCAAAGACGAATTGCCGAGGTTATAAATAACCGATCGTATCGGCTGCGTGAGAAGATTTTTTAAGTAGTCTCGCGATCGCGCCGCTACCGAATATAGAGGCACGCGCGCGCTCGAGAGAGGAGAGAGCTGATTTAGTGGTTTAATCCGCGGTAATGCATACGTAACGATAAGGCCCCTATTTATATAGCTCTCGGGCGAGCGCGCGCTACTCATGACGACAGTGATTTACATTTTTTTTTGTTATAGAGCTCAGCTCGCGCACTGAATATCAAGTATAACGATAATACACGTCGTAGCTGCAGCGGTGCAGTCGATGATCGTTTCAATTGATATATATCATTATTATAATCGCACTTTTGACTTTGCAGCCCACCGAGCGAGCTGCCCGACGTCTCGGGCTATCCGCTGCTGTTGGCCGAGCTGACGCGCGACCGTCGCTGGCCCTCGTCCGACATCAAGAAGCTCGTCGGCGGCAATCTGCTGCGCGTCCTCAAGGAGGTCGAGCGCCAGGCGACGAGCTTGTCGAATCAGAGCCCCGCCGAGGAGTGGATACCGCGCGAGCTCATCGAGGACACGGCCTACTGCAGGTATCTCGGCGTCTGAGATATCATTATCTCAGGCATGCTAGCTCAGTATATGATGATTGTTTATTATGTACGATAAAAAAAATTTCTCCGAGGGCCAATTTACGCTGAAAAATTTCGAGTTATATTATATTTGTTCGTATGCGATGCGAGCGTATTTCAAACGATCGCCACTCGTATTTGAATTCGAAATAACAAGGACGAGCGTACATAAATATAATATATATAGAAATCAATAATTGAATATTACACGATGTGTAATATAACTGTATAAATATTACATTGTTATCGACACTTGTTTGATGATTTTCGACTCATAAATATAGGAAACATAGAAGATGTAGATAAAAAAAAATAATAATATATAGATAATTCAATTGTTTTCTATTCGATTCTCCATTAGATTTTGAAGAAATATAACGTTGTTGTGGCCGACGAATTCAATTGTGATCGATTTTATTAATGGTTGTTCATTCCTCTATCTGTACGTTTGCGTGTTTGCGTGTATGTTTGTGCGTTTTTGGGTAAATGAGACTATGTGGTGTACGCGACTAATGACGTTTGTACGAAAAATGCCAAAAAAAACTTATTCACGCGCACAATAATTACTTGGACTGGCAGACTTTTTCTAAAAAAAATCTCAATTATAAATAGAGTGATGACGAAGCAAAAACCGAGTATTAACGATATGATCTATATCTTGTGTTACTCGGAAAAGCCGGTATACATATTATTAATTACATTATATAGATAGATAATAAGAATGAAGAAAAAATAATAGTTAAACATTACGAATTGTTGTACACGGGTGATAGCATTTGTTACACACTGGCTTTATAATAATTATGAAAAAAAATATCACGTACTGCTGGTGGCGATTACTTCGACGAATGTGAGTAATGCGCGAACTAGTTTGTATTTTTGTGTAAATAAAGAGACACGCAGCAGTGCTGTAAATTGATGCCTATTGAAAACCTGTCTAGAAAGCCTTTTTAGTTATCCGCTCGAAAACCTGTCTCCATCTATTTATTATTATGCAGCGCAGTCCGACTTGGCGAATCGATGTCAAAATTGCAATTTCACTCGGCTATAATTAAGCATCTGGAGAAGCGTACACATACGCCATACGTCTTCCTCGAAAAGCTCTCTGCGTCTGGTAAGAAAAAAAAAAGAAGAGGTAGAAGAAGGAAAAGCAGATCGTGTCTGCGAAGTGCACTCGGGCTTAAGAAGCTTTGGCGCGACAGGGGTTGCTCGCGAGCTCGCTCACGAAAGAGATCATTTGTCTAAAGTTTTGCAACGCGCCGAGGCCATAGTTCAATTCATCGACCCAAAGAAAAGTCATTTTTCCTTCTCCTTGGGAAAAACAAGCTAGCTCTCTCTCTCTCTCTCCCTCTCTCTCTCACGGAGAGAGAGGCATTAAAAGCGCGAGCCGCTAAAGTGAGAGATATCGCGGCCGCTTCGCGCCACTACTACCTCTGCTATAGATATATCCAAAAACAAGGGAGAGTAAGGTGGGTATTGAAACACTATATAATAGAGAGAGAGAGAGAGAGCTTGAGGGCGAGGAGGAATCAAAAGCCACTGATGCATTCGAATATGATACGAAAGGGCAAAGTTTATTGCTGCAGCTTCGTGTATATACCCGCGCGGGAGTATAAGATAGATAAGAATGGCTCGGGCGAATTTGCCCTCTTTCTCCCTCTCACTCTCTCTTACGGCTCTATATCGTGCGACGCCAAGACGTGATTTATCGAGAATATCGCTCGCAGGCATATCATTTTACTGCCTTCGTGGCATGTACGTAACGCAGCAGCAGCAGCAGCAGCAGCAGCAGCAGCTCGTAACTACTATAACGGGGTAAGTATATCTGCCCTGCATATATAATGTAGATCTGTATACCTAATTTCGATGCTTCAGCGTCTGCGTAGATATGTATGTTCCGTGGATAAAGCTCTACTCATTGAAATATATTATATTCCTCGGCGTGCGGCAGAAAGTAGCTTATCTATCACATCCCCTGCCACGCGGAGCGCCGCTTACGCGCGTACACGTGTATGTGCAGCTCGCGTCGAAGCAAATCTCGACTGCTTGTTTACCCGTTTGTGCATAGTATACACGGATATCGAATCGCGATCTCTTCTTTCCTTCCTCTGTGTGTGTGTTTTTTTTTTTTTTTTTATACTGACTCCGCTTTGTAAAATTACAAGCCTCCCTGCCGCGCGCGCGTAACGTTAGAGTAACTTTTTGATTGAGAGATCATTTGTATGTTTTGAAAATTGATCTCCCTTCAATCGTTGATTTTTTTTCTCTCCCTCGTTTTTTTTCTCCTTTGCGTCGAAAACGCCATTTTCACCATATAATACAGCGAGCGACTCGAGCTTGCGCGTTGTGTAAAGTTAATTCTTATCAACACGCGACTACACAAATAGTTTGCGCGAGTAATTTTGCAACTGACAATAGGGTCCTCTCGCTCGCTCTCTCACTGGTCTCGCTGTATACTACGCGACCAAACTCCGAATATATACTCGAGTATATATACAAGCTTTAAGCGTTGCAGCAGCAGCAGCTCTTATTTACCTCGACGTGGAAGGTGTGCACGACTACTGCTGCTGCCATATACAACAAACAAAACTCTTATACATACGTATATGCGCGGTGCACTGCGCTAGCTTGCATCTCTTTCCGCAGCTGCGCGCGCGCGCGCGAGCACCGAGGCTCGAGTATTGAAGTCCTGTCCCGTGAATTTCTTCCCTTTATACACAATCGCGTGTATAGACGGAAAACTTTTACATTTTGAGCCGAGGAATTCGTGAAATAGAAAAAAGAAGAAGAAAAAGATATCACGCCAGTGCGATTGCGCTCACAGGCGTGTCTTGTGTTTTTTGACTGCGGCTGATCTCGAGTAGTCGAGCTTCGAGAGCTTTTTGTTTTCCTTGTATTGCACCAAATGCCGGAGTACGTGTAAATATCCTCCTCCCATCGAAGGATAAACAAACAGCTGCTGCTGCTACTGTGGCAGCAGTACTCGAGAGAGAAACCAGCCGATGCTTTTATATATTTCATGCCCAACACGCGATCGTGTGTAGAGTGCGTGCGTATGTATGTGCACGTGGGTTTCACGCTCGACCGGTTATCATTGCAGCTCGAGCATTGTTCCCGCAAGCACAGTTGTAACTCGATCAGTTCTACACATTGCGCTTATAATGCCAGCAAATCGGGGGAGTGCATTGCACAATTTTCTGGCTAATGTACGACACGCATAATTATTGTGCCAACGAGATGGCTGTTTTCTTTTTTACGTGTAATTATAAGCTTTGCAGCCGTGCCTCCCTTTATTTAAATTTAAATTAAATATAAACTTATGTTTGTATGAAGAGAGAGAATTAAAGGCAGGCGGCGAGCTTTTCAGCATTGCAACTCGACTGTTACAGTCGCGCTTAAGGTACGACAAACTCTCTGCACCGAGAGAGAGAGAGAGAGAGAGAGAAAGCTCGAAAAAGGGGTGTGAGATGATTTATTCGCTCCGACGCGCCTTGAGAAACCAAAATCATTGTTGTGCGCTTGCGTCAACGCGGCATTGTTGATACACAAACGTATATATACGCATTCGTGCACACATACACGTAGAAAATCACGGTCAATTCCGGCGCGCCCTGCTGCACGAATTTCCTCCTCCGACAACGACGACAACTTTTTGACTTAATAATAATTGTGTGACTGTATGCATGCACGCGCGCGCGTGCAAATATAATAGTGACAGCCGGTTGTGCATACACACAGAGCGAGAGCTTGCAAGCTTCACATTAATTGAAGTGGCTCGGGGATCTTAGCTCGAGCCTCTTTTTGTGCTGCTGCTGCCTCGAGTCTCGCCGGTGTAAAATGGATCGTATCAACGCACGCGAGCGAGCGAAAAGAGTCGCTCCGAGATAAAAGTAAAAAAAAAATATGTATGTACACGAAATTACGCGCGTACCGCGTCTGCCGCTGCTGCTGCTGCAGTCGCGCGTACATCATATAATATACGAGTCGAGGTATACGCGACGAAACTTCGAGGTCTCGCAACGCTAGGATAATCACAGGCGGAAGAACAAGAAGAAGAAGGAGAAGATGATGATGATGAAGAAGAAGAGTAGCAGCGGCAGAGCTCGCGTATAATGCACGGTAGCTCATGCAGCGTGCGGTGCGGTGGCAGTGGAACTTCTCAAAGGCAGCCACTGCCGGCACCGCCGACGACGACGACTTTGCCGGCATTATACGCGCATAACGCGCGTATAATTACATCAACAACGACAACTATGCGCGCGTGCCTGAGCTTTTATTTTCCCCAACTTAAATTAATATACACACAACAACTCGATTCGCCTGGGCCGCGCGCAGCTGTGTATTAATCAAGGGGGACATGTCGTATATCTTCGAGACAACACTCTCTCTATGCGGCGTCTGTTCGCATTTATATTATTATACGTGTATATGTGTGTGTTTGTGTGTCAGTGGGTGGGTGGGTGTACGTATAATACGTGTACATATATATACAGTTATAAGTAGTCGTCGTCGTCGTTGCAGTCGTCGGACGAAGATCGCATGAACTGGCGCGCAACAATGGGCGAAAGCTCCCGGTAATAATAATGGCAGCGGCAGCGGTGGCGAGGAGATCTCTCTAGGGCATTGTAGCAGAAATCCTGCGTGCAGTCGTTGGGATAGATAGATGCAGCGCAGAGGAGTTCTCTAGCCTCTCGCTCTCTCTCACGCGGGCGCCCTTTATCATCGAAATCCCAACGACTGTCAGCAGCTCCATACCAGCCTCGCTCTCCTCTCTCTGTGCTGTGCGCGCCTGTCCTATGTGTACGCGCAGTAAAGCTGCGAATCTATGCTGTTTGTGTGTATGTGTGTTGGTGCAGCTCTCGAAAGCTCGCACACGCCATGCGTCTACAATTATATCGCACACAGCTCTCTCTATCTCTCTCTTTCTCTTTCAAGGCCCCTATAGATACACATAGCCCTCGTCGATTACAATTTAAATGTCCGAAATCTAATTGCAGCTTTTTCGACTAGCGAGCTTGCGGATGCACGCCCAGACAGACATATTACGTATAGACCGCGGAAAGCTGGACTCTCATACGTGCATCTATAGGAGAGCTGGCGCGAGCGGCACTGGCTGCAAATTTTAGCGCAAACACGTTGAAGCAAGTGTAGTATACCCTCCCTCTATATATACCTATATATACGTTGTGTCTCTATGTGTGTGTGTGTGGGTGCGCTTGCAAGCTCCCACATATATACGGCACGCAGCGCGATACATTGCGAGCAATGTCTGCACGCGAGTGCGCGTATGCGATTTCTCTCTCGCTCTCTCTCTCGTTCACTCCCCCCGTGCTAGGACGCACGAAGCTTGAATAATTCATGTCAACGAGAGGAGAGCGAGACAGGTGTATGTTTGCCTGCACTGTTCTGATGTTGCTGCTGTAGCTGTTGTTGCCACTAGCCCCACCCTTATGGATGCCTGCGTGTGCAGCTCTCTCTCTTTGGATGTATTGTACACGTACATATATAGAGGGCCTGCAGCAGCCACGAAAGCAGGACTTTATTATGGTCCTCCCCCCCCTGAACTCCTTGCTTTTGCCATATACACGTATATAGGCAGTGCAATATTGGATTCAATGTTACGCGATTATTTGGCTATATACGGTGTGCGCGCGAGCGAGCGAGTTAAAGGGATGCAATTCCTGAGTTTCAAGGCTCGACTACCTTCGCTCTCGAACTCTCTATATATTTATGTGCCGTGTACATATATGTGGCATCATATATGCAGGCGTGCGCGCGCTCGAACGCGTTTGCCTGACTGAACGTCAAGGTGTACTACTGCTGCTGCTGTTAGACGCTGCACGACTCGCGCGTGTTCAGCAGACGTGTCAGGTCGATGCGGAAAACATCAAGAGAGA